CTCATCTCATCCAGGGGTCATTTTCTTCACTAGAGGCCTCCTCAGTATTTATTCCCTTTTTTTTCCTTCATAATGCATCCCTCTGTCTTTCAGCCGATCTCATCATTCCAGAAACTTTGTTGAATGTCCACCCCTCCGGCCTTGCCCCGTCGCTGCTGTACCCCTAGCCGTGGAGTTCGAAAATGTGACTGAGACCTCAAGACCGTGGCACCGTTGCCCCAGCCTTTGTCGAACGCTCTAGTTGGTGTGCCGGCAAAATGTCTCACGTATTTCGACGGTGGCGATTTGTTAGAAATTGTCAAGGATTTCTGAGAGGAAATATATCGAAGAACAAGTGTACAATTTCGGACAAGAATTTATTGATAGTTGTATGTGATATCGAACTCTCTTCTCAATATGAATTAATAATATATAATACTCCGTTGACTTAGTTTTACATATTCAGATGAGTCTATCCTTAAATACAGATCCCCGAGGCTTTAGTGATCCCGAACTCCCAGTGATCTAACAACAACCAGCCACTTAATTATCAAAAAGATAGCATTTTGTTGGAAAATATACTCTGTACGATATTATATGGATAAAAATGATGAAGTAAAGAAGACTTGATATTTTACAACTATGTGAACATTGGACTTATATATACATCTTAGGGGAGAAATTCCCACTAGTCTCATGTGCCTGTCAAATCTAGTGATGACCAGCCACCTCTCATCTACCATGATGAGCAGAGATACACTGTAGTACGTAAATATCCAAACGTATAGGCGACAGTAGGCGCGATTAGCGTACTCGTGACATGTGTAGAGAGTGTCAATCTTTTCGGGAACCTGAGACGAAACAGGTAGTGGTTGAGTCCTAAATTCGAGAGTCAGAATTTCCAACACATCTCCTAGCCACTGAAACTTATTTCGCCTAAATGAGTTTAATCATATTCAATCAAATCAACTCAATTGATCTTGATGATCATACTTAGAAATCTAAACCTTCATACATGCTAAGTCTAGAGTTCCAACACGATTCGTCGCAGGTCGAGTTGTTGGTGCCCTTGGCCGAGGTGAGGACGCATTTAAGGTCGGTATTTCGACCGTACCTTCAAAGCGACTGGCAGTTGCGGAGAGTCGGATATCCTCTTACTTCTTAGTTGGCGATTTGACTTTTGGAGGTATGGGATTGCTTTGGTAGGTAATGAGATGATTGTGGAGAGGGCCGCGAGATGAGAATGAATTTCCAGAGAAAAAGAACATAAGAACCTGAAGGTGTCGGTTGTTGTGATACGAACATCAGACAAGTTATAGGCTGTCTGTGGTTCGTATCTGGGGTGTAGATGGTTGATTTCGTTGAGCTGTGCAGTCGTGAAATCTCTGCAAGTCGGATTTTTGTTGTAATTGTGCATCACGTACAAGTGTCTTAGCGTGCAGGCGTTCTTTCATTACTGTGTCCAGTCTCATTGTAATATAGTAAATTATAACTCCTTGTAATTCACGACATTAGATACGTTCCTCTTCCTCAAGTTCCATCTGTTTATAATAATTTTCGACCAAAAATGAGGCAACACCACTCCTCCCGATCGCCAACTCGACGAAAGCTCTCAAATCTAACCTTTTTCGTGACTGAATCTCGGCTCTGGGAGAATATTTCACTTCCAGGTTCGTAGAGGACACCGCTGACAGGTGTTTAGCCTTCGTCCTGTCTGAGTCTGTGACTATGTAGGACATGCAGGTCCTCTCTGCCTAGAGGCCAAGGATACCTGTACCAGTAGTATATCCCCTCCTATGCCTCCCATACAGCTCCCCTCAAACAGTATCACCCCTCACAAGTCCTCATTCGATCATACACTAAGAGGAGCCCTTTGTCCTTCATTATCTCCCCTCTCCAGCCAACGAAACGATGGCCATTTGCGGGTGTGTGGCAGCCGGGAAAAATCGCCGAAACCACTGGCTGCGGGGCTCTCCTAATACCGACATTAGGACTAGATCCGAAGACATAGTGATCCATCTGATGCGTTCGAAGAGGTCGGCCAGCTGGGCGCTGCAGACTCGTGGGTACCTCGGGAAATTCACACTTTGCCTTTCTAGCCTCCTTCCAACTCCTTCCCGAAGGTCGTGCTGAAACGTTAGAGAAGTCTTGACAGAGCGTGATTGCTGTATAGTAGCTTAGCCTAGCTTCTTTTGTGCCGCCCAGGGGGCTGGGGAGTGCCGTTGACTCATCGACAAAAGAAGATTTCGGAGCGACTAAAGATCGCCGTATATTTATTTTGATTGCGCGAATTCATGATGGAGTCAGTCGTAGTATAATGCTGGGTGTTTGATCCGGATTTTTGCGAGAAAATTTCCTAGAATCCCAGTCTATCTTGAGATCCAGTAAACTCGGTCCTTACAAGCTCAGGTACATGAGAGAGAGTAAAGATGTGATGAGTCGAGATGTCAGAATGAGTCATGGACAGGTAATTTCTGTAAGGTATGGATGGGTTTTCCTGGAAGATTACTAGCAGCATCGAGGTTGTCGAGAAGAATCCAGATATTCGCAGAGCCACATAGGTTTTGCTACATTTTCCTGACTGCTTTCAATTTGGCAGCGACTTCTCACTAAAGTACAGAATTTCAAAGCTAGAGTCATAATTTTTTCCAAGATTGCAGGGGCTGCTTGGAAGATCTCAGCATATGCAGCGAGCTACCAGTCAGAGGGAGATTCACTCATCCCGTTTCATGTTCACCGATGATCCGACTGCACAGAGAAAATCGTAGAAGTCGATGCTTGCGATGTCATTCCCGGTAAAAGTCGAAGCTGGTTGCGATGTCAGGACGAAAAAGAATGTAATCTTATCAGAATGCGGCGTCGAGGTCTGCATAACAAACAGGCAGACTTTAAGTTGCATGAATGTAATATTGTTTCATAACGACACCGGCCTAGCCGGCCCGTGACCGTAAACAGGGGCTGTGTGCCGGCACGACGTAAAATCAAGCAGATCACTCACGTGCCATGGTGGATAGTGTTGAACAGGTATAGTAATTGGAGTGACATCGCTTCTGTCCATATAACCTACAGCTGAACACTGCGGACTGTCCAATTAGATACCCTAAGACTATACATTGGCACTACCGACACTGCTGAACTTCCCTTCAGAATTCCGCTGGAGCTGCATGACTAGCACAATGACTAGAAAACATAAGTTTGTTCACCGAAAACTGCTCAATGGTACATGGGGGATTGGTATTTAGCAATGGCAAGCTGTAGTACTGAACCTGTGTCCAATCGACTTAGCTCCTATACTAAGGTTCATCTTCAGTATCCACCCGAATAAAATCGTGTTATATCATACAAAACGTCGATTCATTTGGAGCATTATATAAAAGCTGCTCCATCGTAAACTGTTGGTAGTATTGCTTGAATTTAATTCAAATTTTCCCCTTGTTGATTTCAAAATTCAAGTGCCAAACTTAAACAGTTGTGGCCTCCATCCTCTTTTTGGTTTGGATAGTATCATACGTTCACTAGGTACATATAAGATGTGTTGAAATTCAAAACCAGGCCACTGGCAAATAGGGCGATCGCATGCTCAAGGTCTATTAGCGGTTTCCCATGTGAATCTCTAGCCCTCACCATATGCTCCGTGTGGCTAAGGTTGGGCCCGACACTAGCCCGGTGGCCCATGAATGTTAATGAGTCTAGGCCACCACCTAGTACTCTCAACGTCGCGTTAGGCTCGGCCAGGCAACTTTACAGTGCAACTCGCTATCAAGACTTTCATAGCAGTCTAATGCGATCTTCGATTGTTCTAGGGCGTGAACGGGAGAAAGTGTTGAATGCCAAGAAGGTAGAGTGTGTCTCACTCTGGAAAATACATCTCTGCAACGCTTGGCTGGTTGGCTTCTTCTCACGCCCCAAAAGATTCCAATTTTTTCAGGATTAATCCGATGTCTTTTACAGAATTCGGGGAAAACTGTAAACCCCAAAATGGCTTTTGTTTGTAATTAAAACGGGGAATGATTGAGGGCCATGGAATCCTGTAAGTTTGTGGTCCAGCAAAGACTTTAATGGGCTATCACTATTGAATGGGAGCTACAAAAAAGGCTAAACGGGAAAGAGACTACTCGAGGCACAGACATCTTCGGCCAGTAGTGAGAGAGGACCTAGATGTTAAATGTAGTCTTTAATAGAAACCACAAAAGAATTGTGTATGAAAAATCTTTCAATGACCTTGACTAGAAGTTGATATCTGAAGCTAGTAATCATCCACGCAGCCAGGCTCACCGCTTTTGGAATCAAAAATCTACAATGGGATCAAAAGTGAGGGTCTGCGCCAAGCTTAATGACATCGAGATGGCGCACTCTCTAGTTCGACGAATACGATGAGTCCCAACAACTTCTATCCCCCCACACGCCTGATAGCCCCTTGTCCTCCCAGCAAGGTTGTATACCGACCTATTAACTGCGAGACGCACTAGCTCGTACAGATATATGCACCCTAACTAATGATAAAATGTAGCAGAAAGAAATCTGTCCCCCATTGATATGCTCATTATTGCTCGATCATAGCTTGCAGGCTATTCTGATTCAGCCTCAAATGTTCAATCAGTCTGGGATGATTATTATAGACAAGAGGAACACTGATTAGCTTCGGACCCTTGAGGTTCTGCTGTGAACGAGCCGATGCGAAGCTCCTCCAGCTCTCCCGTTTGTAATACTCCATGATAATAGAAGAATAGTCATGATTGCAGCAACATTGAAAACACATGGGTTAGTCCCTCACCAATATCCTGATCCAATTCTGTCCAGGCCATATGGAATCCAGGGATATGGCCACAACCTGACAGCGAGACTGCATTGCATGATGTGCCTTGAGGTTTTTTCTGTGACCACCTCTTGCCTAACTTGCTCTGGTTACCCCTCTAGTGCTACAAATTATCCGGTGAAAATGTCAATTGGCGGGGTAGGCTTTTCTCTTCCATAAATTAGAAACCTCCATACTCAAGATTTATCAGTAAAGTCCGTCAATTATGTCTTGCACCAAAGAATACGCTCTCCTCTGCTTAGAAAACCCCCTGCTTGGTAGGTTTAAATACGCTCGATGGTACAAATTTAAAGTGCCTCCAGCTAAGAAGCTGACAATGATCGGACAGATATTCAGGCTCAGGGCAATGAAGATCTTCTCAAGAAATATGGCCTTGAAGCCAACAATGCTATCCTAGCTGAGAATGAGCTTCACAAATCCATTTTTGAGGATCTCCTTAAAAACTACTCGGCCAAGTTAATCGCTGGAGGTGGTGCCCAGAATACTGCACGTGGCGCACAATACCTACTTCCTCCCAAATCTGTTGTTTTCCTCGGTGGGGTTGGGTCTGACAAATATGCCGATATTCTAAAAGATGCTGTCAAAGATGCCGGACTCCGAGTCGAGTACCGAGTAGACGCTAAACAACCAACTGGCCGCTGTGGTGTTGTTATTACAGGCCACAATCGATCCATGGTTACTGATCTTGGGGCTGCTAACCACTACGATCTTGACCATCTGAAGTCTCCTGAAGTATGGAGCCTCGTCCAGAACGCAGAATACTATTTCGTAGGTGGATATCATCTAACCGTTTGTCCGCCTGCGATAATGGCACTGGCAGAAGAAGCTGCGACTAAGAATAAAACATTTATCTTCTCGCTGTCTGCTCCCTTCATTTCTCAATTTTTCAAGGGCCCCCTAGACGAAACCTCACCATACTGGGACTATGTCATTGGCAACGAAACAGAAGCTTTAGCCTATGCCGAATCGCATGATTTGAATACCAAAGATATTAAAGAGATAGCTAAGGCTCTTGCCGCTCTACCAAAAAAGAATACACAAAGAAAAAGGACTGCCATCATTACGCAAGGCACCGATCCCACCATTGTAGCAGTCGACGGAGAAGAACCCCTCACGTTTCCTGTTCATGTTATCGACAAAAATCTCATCAATGATACTACAGGCGCCGGTGATGCTTTCGCAGCCGGCTTTGTCGCTGGACTGGTATCTAAACTATCCCTAGCTCAAGCGATTGACCAAGGACAGTGGCTAGCAAAACTTAGTATTCAGGAGCTGGGGCCTTCGTACGTGACCACCCCAAATAAAATCATGAATATGCAACTTCAAAAACTTGATTTGTATTTCAGACATATTTGCGAGACTTCCTTTCCTAGTCCTGCTCATGTACACTATTACATCTTATCTCTGATTCTTTCCTTCATTCCGGGAACTCTTTATTTGTAGATAACTAACAAATAGTTTAGGTATCCCTCCCCGAAACAAACCTACACGCCTGCTATCTAGAGGTTAATAAATCTCGTCTAAACTCTGTAAGATCTCAATGGTGAGGTGGTTAAGTCCTTGGACACCGTGTGGATATACATCGAGATTTCGGGGGTTCTCGTACAGTCTGGCATGACTGCCATTTTATTCCTAGACCGTTAATTCTTTCAGGGCTTCCACTGATTCATCCGTTCTTATCAGAGTGTAATAAGTTGTCTCAATAATTTGAGCAATTCTAGGGTCCTGTGAAGTTAGTGTGAAAAACCTTACGTCGGCACAATAATGCTTACTCATTTCATAAAATTTGTTAAAGTTTATTGCGAAATATCGAGTTACCTGAGCTAGTCACCTTGATTGCCATGTGGATTATGAATGTAAGAGCACAGAGGGACAGTGCTTTGAATAGAATTCTGTAGCATAGTGTAATAGTCAAAACTATTCCCAACAGAGATATTGGGTTTTCCTTTAGATAGTTTTGAAGTATTAGCTCTGACCTGATCGAGAGGGGATGAGCTCGAATAATTGCATCTATATTCAGTAGATTCTGGAGAGATGGGCGTGAGACTTTGCTGCTGATAATTGAAACCCTTGGACCAAGTCTCAGTAGGACGTGGTAATCGCCGTTGAGATGAGTCGCTTAAATACGTGTAGCCAGCTTGTTCCTCTGTTAAAGCAGTAGGTTTGTAGCGGCTATCGCGTCCTACGAGAGATAATGGAGAGAGCTGATAGCTAGTGTTCTGATTGCAGGAGTTTATGGGCAGTAGTTCATTTGGCTGTGGCGTAAATGCCGAACTAAAAATCCCTGGGAGACTCGGTAGCAGTTTAGGGGTGCCTTGAAATCGGAGATTAGTTGAGTGCGACATAACCGAAGTACGAATATCATTATTCACACATCCTTTTGTAATGGGTGTTTTGATGTTCTCAAGGGTCATGTTTGATGCTGGCTCAAGAAGCTGATCTACCATACGGCTTAAACTCAGCTCGACACTGTCTTGTACATCTAGGGATTCTGTGGTAGTACTAGGAAAAATTTCACACCTTTCATCCGCAGATAGTTGGGTTGTCATACTATCATTAGGCATTCTTTTTATCTGATCGATGCAACTTTCTTCGTTTCTTGACAGAGCAGCCGAAGCGTGAGGTAGTGGAGAATCGTCTCCAACAAATGAAAAAAATGATCTATCTGATCTGTTGTGCAGTTGCAATGGTATATCGTTTTTCATTTGAAGCTGTATGCCACAGCAGACAATGTCTAAGATTCGAGACTGCATTTCAATATCTGGATCGCTACGTTTGACTCCATGATCACCAATATAGGGCTTTAGATTCCCATCCACTTGCTTGTAGAAATCTAATGCTTTAACTAGTTCTGGATTCCTGAACGGCATAAAGCCGACTGTAGTACTATCTTCGGTGAGAAGATATGGAACTGTTGTCATTTCTTTAACCGGGTAGCAATTGACAAGCTTAGTCAAAAATAAAGCGTAGGCGCTCCATAACTCTTTGTTGTGTGAATTTGAAAACTCATTGCTAGTGTTCGGGCGAATGTGGGGCTCGTTTGTAGCAAACCAGAGGGTATAATATCTGAGGAAAGGGAGAATTCGACGGAAAACTACAAGGGATTTGGTACGTAAATCTTTTTGCTTTTCATCAAATTTTGTAGGGGAATTTTCATCCATCAACGAGTCATCTATCTCTGGTGTAATGATAGAAAGAAGCTGGGACATTAGTCGAACATTAAAATTTGTGTGATGGCGAAAGATTCTAGTAGATTCTGGGGGATTTTGAGCACCTTGATCTGAGGAGAGTCAGTTCGGTAAATATGCTTTAAGACTTGTGCTCACCCTCTAGCCTTCGATGAGCATTATAGTGTGCAGCAATACTAATCAGAACAAGCTTCTGTATTAAGTCACCGCATGGTTCTTCTTTAAGGTATGATGTAAACCTTGACAGAACTTCTTTCTGCATTTCCTCAAGAGTCGCAAATTCTACCCCTTCGTTAAGGTTGGCCTGTAGCAAAATAAACCACCATATTAAGGACTCCATTTGATTATTGTTAGCAGAAAATCGTGCTGATAGAATCTTTTTGAATTCTATTTCAAGGTTACCTGGCGCAAGCAAGTCAGGCTCATAAGCAGCTGTAGCACGGAAAAGATGATAGACGGCATCGAGATGATTGTTGTCGGCGAGGGCAATGACAGCCATTTTGTTATGTGCTGTACCTGATAGGGGATCAAGACTGTTTGCGAGCTGATAGTATCCCACGGCAGGCTGCCAGCTTCGCTCCCTAGTTTTAATCATGTTACGGTACCGCGAGAGGTCCCCAAGACGTAATAAAGTTGCATAGCATGACTGTTCGATAAGTTTCTGTAACTCTGCTGGAACAATGGGGAGTGAGTCGGTAGTCTGCTCATTAATACACAGAATTCCAGCAATCCGGGAGAGACCTTTGATGCCAGAGAAGTGTGATGCTAAGCGCTGAATATACCCTTTGTAAAAGTATTGGCTTGTTTTGATGAAATCAACATAATGCTTTTCAACTTTTCGTTTCTCTACTACAAAGTTTTTATCACCTTTATAGCGACCGATAATTTTACGATAGCGGTTGTTTATTAATGTGTGAGCATCCCATAGATGCCTTCCTATGCATGACTTGGCAGCAAATCCGAAGTCGAGAAAGATTATTTCCTCACATAATATACGCATTCTAAAAAGTTTAGATGATAAGTCTTGATGAATAATATAACATACTGATGAATAAGATTTTCAATCTCTTCGTAAGTAGGTTTAGAGCATCGAATCAATGTCGATAAATCTTTCTCTATTTGCTGCGCATCTCTGCAGTTGATCAGTGAGGGGCCTACGCTATGAGAGAAATACACTTACTCCCACCGTTGAGGGGCAGATAGAGCCATCTCTTCGGATTCAATATGCTGTGTATTTCTGATAAAACTATTTCAGTTTGGTGGCTGTCAAATGTGCGCGAAGAATTCCGCAAAATAGTGGTCGGTAGGTGAAATCCATAGATGACTATTTCTGTTTGAGGTTATGATTTAAGCAACGCACTGTTGGTTACCTCTCAAGAATTAATCTGAGAATTGGAGAAAATTCCTCCGAGCCTGTCAATCATCTGTACAAAATCATAGTAGAAGGCGACAAATGTTACATGGTACAACGTCGCATATTCATGAAACGGGTAATCAGAAAATTGGCGAATCAAATACAAAAGTGCCGATGCAATTGTTGCCAGTCCGGGAATCACGGATCCGTTGCCCCGCCGAGGAAAGTCATGGGAGCCCAGCAAGCAAATATAGAGCCTGAGCACGAATTTTGCCTAATGTTCATCCATGATATCCACAACGATTTTGATCATATGACCTAACGCTGCTGGGTGGTTGAGGACTATTGCAGCTCTCAGATTGCGCTGCACATGTCGACATGTCCAAACGTCCACGAGAAGCTTATGAATTTTCATCCGAAGATATCAACACAAAAGCATTGGAAGAATTTGAAGATTCAACAACCACCGTTCCAGAAGTCCGTCGAGTTTCATCTTCAGCGGTGCTCAGAAGCTCTAAGTTCGTTCAGCTTGATTCTGAAAGTAAAGTAAACACGTTTACTGCTATGAGCTGCTCGCTACCACCACATTCTCAAACCTTTACCTTCAGCTCATATTCAGAATATGAGGTTCATTATGCAAAAGTACATACCAATCGTTGCTTAGAATGCCGTCGAAATTTTCCCACGGAACATTTCTTGTCACTTCATATCGAAGAAAATCATGACCCATTGTTCAGTATAAAAAAGGAGAGAGGTGATAAGATGGTTAGCAAAATTCATTTTCAAACCTTTTCACACTCTAACTAAGGCTTCAATCTCTCAGTATAAGTGCTTTGTCGAAGATTGTATTCGAACTTGCTCAACTCCTCAAAAAAGAAGAATGCACCTGATTGACAAACATATGTTTCCCAAGGATTACGAATTTAACATCGTCAACAATGGAATTGGTAATAGAACATCCTTACTACAGAATCGAAGGGGCCGATCTGAGAGTTTAACCAATCCTAAAAATCCATCGGGTATTGAAAAAAATAACGGAAAAAGACATGTTGTGAAAGGCAGCTTGTCGAAAGAAGGAGCGACAAACAGAACTATTAACTCAGAAAACGTAAAAATAGACCACAGCCTAACCTCTAATACTACAGAAGATTTAGACATGGAACATATATCAAAAGCTATGTCAGCCTTAAAGTTTGTACCGTCAACTATAAAGTTCGGTGGGCGTGCAAGGGCTGGCTTTAGCCGTGGCTGATTATAAAATCAACTCACCACCTATCCACCTAACTTCTTAAATGTGATACAAAATTTTGGTAACCAGACAACGCCAAACATCTAGTCCTACGTTTGTAATCTAAATCCAGGCATGCTCAGCGTCTATCTCTGCAAGAATCCATTACAGCGAGATATTAACTTAACCTATGCCATCATACTGATTCATATGTGGTTAAATAATTTAGCCGGGTAAAGGGCGAGGGTTACTAGTACCTATCACGCGCTTTGTTAAACTTATTTCTCAGATTTGTAATATTCTTGGATCTAAACACGAAACGAAAGCTGCTTTAAGATACTCCTACTATTGTATTCAAACCACAACCATCATTGTAAGTAGAGAGTCTTCAAAGTAGGTGCTCGGAAAATATCCTGCTTCAATTTAAATGGTGTCGTAGTATAGATACAGAATCCCACATGACTAACGAACTGACTGATTGGGCGCCGCACCTTAAAAATTTTCAGAACTTAGGGGTACGCTTCCACATACTCATTCATGCACCATGCCAATGCTGACTTTTCACAACAACATGCTATTCAGAATTATTTCTCCAGCTAGATTATTATCTGGAGTCGCTGGCACTAGCATTGAGTTGAATTATTCTTGATTTGAGGATCCCACAATCAGATAATGCGTTATGCGAAATTAAGATAAATGAATAAATCATTTGATCGTTCTAAAATGGCGCCTTGAGGCCCACGCAGGTTTTATAGGAAGACGACTACTCTGAGTAGGATGACTCAGTTTGACGATGAGAGCACCCATACTCAGATTTCATTTGCAGATACCACTCGAGGTTAACCCTTACGGCGTATAACCTCTTCCGTGCATACCCACCACAGGGAAAAGCGTGAAAACCCTGTGGCTGTCCAAGTGTGCTTTCATCATCTCACAAGTACAATATCACCGCGAGAGACAGTGGTGTGTGGACCTGACTGGGTTTGAACCAGCTTTCTCCTATCTCGAATAGGGTAGGTGTTCAAGCTACCCAGTATCTTCTTGGGAGAACGGCCTGGATGGAGTACCACTGCACCATCCAAACCCACGAATTTAAGATAGATAGCAATTCTATACCAGCAAAATGTTGTGTTTTTGTTGCACTACTTGAGTCATAGACTATCTAGCACTTGGGGCTCCTTTCTGAACCAGGCCATGCCGTGTACGGCGCTCCTTGCCTCTTATGTTCCTTCAAAGATCATTGATATATTGCCCATGATGAATAGCTATTCAGCTTAGAATTTACTGGCCGAATTCAGCCACCTTTTCCACGGAACCCTCTACCCAAAAAAAATGGCAGCAATTATTGGATTATGATTCCATTAGATGGACAGAACAGTGTGGCTGGAAGTAGATTCGATAAAGTATAGAGTTAAACAAACGTGTATCGTTACTATAGTCTCAGCATTCCCTAAGAATGCTGCAGCCTAGCTCGTACCAACGTTCCACTACTAGGGTCATCTACACGCGAATATGGAACTACTAATACAGGGTATATAAGATCTCCAAACCCTTTACCCTTTTTAGTCCTATGAAGTTAATTATCACTGTCCTCTACGAACCTGGGAGTGAAATATTCTCCCAGAGCCAATTTCAGTCAAATTTCGCAAAACCGAACAAGTTGGCCCTCGAGGCAATGATTCAAATTACTCCATCACGTCAAATTTTCACTCCCAAAAAGATCGAATCCTATCTAAGCCTCATCAAGTCTACAAGTACGACCTAGTACACCCCTATTCCAATGATCACACCTCTCATCGACTTTCTCTGGCCTCAGCTGGTCACCAAATACACGCCCACGCCGATATTTATATCCGACGGAGGGCACAAAGCGTGCCGCACAAATCTGGGAGACAGTTCCTTGGGATTGGCGTGAGAGGATTCAGGACAAGTTAACAAGATGATGCAAAGGATGGATGCAGCCTCGACGGGCGTGGAATTTTGAACTTTGGAAAGGAGCTATTACAAATTGAGCTTTGTGCGTGCCAAGTCTTCGGTCGCGAGAGTGCGGGCGACACTATAAACACCGCCATGGCTGGATGGTGCAGTGGTACATCGTCTTGGCCGGTCTGCCAAGTAAAGTCTGGATAGCTTGGACACATATCCCACTCGAGACAGTAGATCGCTGGTTCAAATCCAGCAAAACTCAACCACGTTTCTCGTGGCGCTGGTATGCATGGATGATGAAGGAATGCTTGAATAACCAAAGGTCTTGAAATTCCCTTTGGTTGGTACTTACGGAGGAGGGTTGACTGTTTGTGTAAACGAGCATACCTTATTGTGGTATTTGCGAATGAAATCCAAAGTGTGAGTGTCTCTAACGTCAAAAGATTCATCCTACATTTATACATAGCACCGGTCATATGTCATAGCTAGATAGCTGAATACACATTAAATGATTCAAAAAATAATAATAATAATAATCACAACTATAACTCCGTTATGTTAAGGTACAGGGATAATTATGTTTGACCAACGCTCTTATAATTCAACAACAATGAAAATTGCGTGCGCAGGGAAAAGTCTCTAATAATCTGCAGCCTCAGCCAGGCGAGACCTATACACCGGGACAACTATAGCATCAAGATAATGTGACGCAAAATATCTTTTTTTTAATCATTCACAGTGGATTCAGCCTATACTGACTATGCCAAACTTAGCTGCCTATGAACAAGAAATATAAAAATAATATCTCTCCCTTACAAAAGTGTTCTACCGTGAGAATTAATCATGAAAGAGGGACTATTCTCAACACCTGTCAGTGGTGTCCCCTACGAACCCCCAGCTCTCACTGTAGAGTCTGCAGAGCCGAGATTGAATAACAAAGTCCTCACTTCGACGACGATTCCCAATCGCTTTTGCGGTCTATATCGTCTTCATCTCTCAACACATTCCCCTATCACCATTATCATGAAGCTAACCACGATCAGATCAGATGGTAGGGTCGGGGCCCTACTCATCACCCACCCTTGATCATGGAGGAAGAGCCATCCGATGAGTTTCCGGAACGTACCCAGCACCCGATACGGAGATGGCGGATTGGATCAAGTCGACCTCGACTGTTACAAGGAAGGGAGATATAGATGAATATGCGCACCTTATGTGGTCTCGGTGTCTAGGTCTCGCCTGGCTGAGGCTGCAGGTTTTTTGAGACTTTTTCCCGCGCACGCAGTTTCCATTGCTACCATTATCATTTTTTTGGGTAGAAGGTTCCGTGGAAAAGGTGGCCGAATTCCACGGGTAAACACTGAGCTGAATGGCTATTCATCAAGGGGAATATGTCAATGATCTTTCAAGTAACAAAAGAGGATAGGAGCACTGTACAAAGTGTGGCCTGGGTCAGAGAGGAGCCCAATGTGCTAGATAGTCACAGACTCAAGTAGTACATTAAACACAAATACACACAAGTCATGAAAACCCATGACTGCTGAAGTGTAGTCTGATCTGGTTAAAAGAATACTCTCATATTACGAAATAGATCCGTGAGGTGGGTACTGGCTGTGTCATTAATGAATCAGGCAACATATGCCACACGAAGCTGGTAATCAGAGGGCAAGGCTTTTTATTCTTTATTCATAGTGTATTTAGCTATCTAGCTTTGACACATGATCGGTGCTAAGATTCCTGAATATTCGTGAGAGAATCGATTAGATACCCCATTACCATTATCGTTCTCCTCCGACTCACATACATTCACACTAATCTGAATTCTCAAAGTAGCAAGACCCTGCATCTCCAACATGTCCCCGGGGCCTGCCAAATAATCGCGACCTATTCGCCTTCAAAGAACCATTGATAGAGCGAATACCAGGCTGGAAGAGCGCTTGGCAAAAAAATAACATACCATTGAGCTCGATAAACGGGCGAAAAATGCAGTTGGACATGACCGAAAGTGTGACAGAAACCGAGTTGGTGATGAATAAATCGATTTAATAAACTCTATGAAGAAGATAATTCTGACTACAGCTACGATGTACCTATAAAATTCAGTCCACTATGAATCTCGTTGCTTATACCCTATTCTTAGGTCGAATAATTACCGCATGGCTATGCATTGCCCATATTTATTGTGCTATGACATTGCTTCGATCCTATGGTTGTTAGCACTATTTCTTTGAGACTTGTCTATCATTCACCAACAGTCTTATCATCAGAGTCCTCAAAAATACGCTTAGGTATTCACATAAACTTAAACAACGATTGAACCGTAACAGAAAGGATAAGAGCCTTCGAAGAAAATTCTAACTCCACAAACTCCGATGTTGCAATTGGTGATGCGGTTATAGACCGCTTTATTATAGAGGGGCTTGAGAGCTCACAATGGAATATCAATGAACCCAAAGATAGTCAGAACTCAGAGCCCCCCGTTATTACAGTCACGAGGAAGAATGCTGTGCCGGTCATAAATCGGACAGCTAATGCTAACTTAAAAAAAGCCGACGAAGTCGCGTCCATCACAACCCCTCAGAATACCATTCCGGGGGCAAGTGGAAACAATCAATCTTCTTGCAGCGATAGTAGCTCCAAGAACAATGCGACTTGTCCTCCCGAGCTTCGAGCCATACCTGAAGCCGAGGAACAGCGACCAGCCCAGACCGCATTTAACCTCACAATATGCACTGCTGCCACCAACGGTGTGGAAAGTGTACTCGTAACTTTATCCAAAGGGCCAAGTGTTCGATTCATAGACTCCATGAAAGTCTACCTCAGTACTGTAGTAGCTCAATTCATGTTGTCGGGACTAGGAACAGTCCTTCCCAACCTCCTCCCATGACCAAACTGCCAGAATCATGGCGGAAGGATCGTAGAAAAAACGATACAAAAGCAGCCAGAGCAGCTACAAAAAGAGAACCAGGCGAGGATAACCCCGTTCAAGCCTACCTGGGCAACAGTTACTCGAACTGGCCTCCACACGCCGGTAGCACCTGTGAAAGATGTGCGGGTCCATAACGAAACCTCGGCACCAAAGAGACCTCCAGCAAAGA